CATTGTGGCCCGTTTGTACGCGGTATAATTGGTACAAAAGCGCAAATAAGAAGTTACGAGCAATTCTCACGTCTAGTCGAGAGAAGACAAAGGTCGCAATATATAAATGCAAACACCCATTTACGAGTTGATGACAATTAGTTGGGACGAGAGGAAACGGGAGGGCTGGATCGCCGCGAGGCTTCGTCGTCGTCGAGTTCGAAAGTTCGTTTTAATGCATCATCTTCTACAACACAGGAAAGGATGCCCATCTTTAACAAGATTGCGATCTCGTATCGTCGCGTTAAACCAATTTACCTCCAGTGCTGCGCGGCATTTAGATAATTTATCGCGACACTGAGTCTTCCACCCTTTCCTCCCTTCCTTTCTTCCTCCCTTCCTCCCTCCCTCTCTCCCTCTCACGCCCCACGCATCGTGCGCGAAGCTCGCGGAATTTCTCGAATGAGGCAACTATCTTAAATTCTGCAATATTCATTAAAGATTTTGTGGGATTTCCCGGCGTACGAGCAGATCAAAATAACCCGAGAATGGATGGAATAGCGTGTTAATCGGCTCGGCAATAACTAACCAGTAGTTACAACGATCTGTCATTAGAGTAGAGCGTCACAACGCAATAATCTCCCTACAAATAAGTACTACGTAATTTTGCAGAAACATTCTTGATGAATGCGAGGACGAAAAATTTTCTGCTGCGCGATGGGAAGATAAATCTAGTTTCTTGCAAGATGCAAAATAATGCATTTTTCTCGTCGCTATTTATAAAGTAAAGAGGGAGATAATATTTATAGGCATAATTGTATCTCATCCGAGTGTCGAATTTAACCGAATAGTTCATACATCGGGAGATGTATTATTATTAATTTGTCATTAACATGAGACACACATCCGTCGAGACTCTTCGTCCGCAGTGCTTCTCCATTGCAATGGGGTCAAAAATCTCGGGGTCAAAAGGCAATGCTATCATGCAGCTCGTAAAGATTTCATCTCATTATCACGCATCCGTAATAATTAATCCTCTATTTCGAGTTGCGAGCGAGAGTGAAATAGATACGAGTTGGTGTCGCGATGTTATTCCAAGCTCTGCTATAACGAAATACAGACGCGTCAAGTGCGTGTAATTCAACAAGGTTTTTTACGTCGGATATGAGAGGAATATTATAATTCGCGTGAGAGTTGTTGCCATGCGAATTAAAAAGCTCACGCAATGTTGAGCGAAGAAACTAATTTTTATTTCTACATTTGTCCTTCCCAAGTTTACTTTGTTGAAACTATTTAACTTTCAAGCCGTTTGATCCTTTGTAATCCTATCAAGTTGGCCTCGCCATAATTACTTTACGATAGCTTTTTTAAATTTCCAATGTTTGAATCAAAGTACGATTATAATCAAAGAACTATAATATTGCGTATCCTTTAAAAATTTATTCAATTTTTAAAAAAATGATCTATAAAAATTGATATAATAAAAAAAGATTTTTTATTCAGTTTGGGTACCCATTTAAATGAAACTGAAGGCAAAATACTTGATCTTCATGTTTTGAGCTAATTAGAAGAGTTAAATGGCTTCGTGGTTGAATCTTATTTTATAATTAGCAAAGTGGACAGCGATTTCGCGATAAGTCATATAGGCTTGTATAAATGCTTACTAAGTATACGGTATGGACATCACACCACTTTATCGCGAGCAGACTCGACGACGTCGCGGCGCCTACGTTGATGATCGCATTTGTCCCGGGCCGAGCATTATGTCACCGTTTGTCATTAATAATATCGCGAGCCGCCTTGACCCGGCCTATCGGTGTATCATCGCGAGAGTGCCCAGCGTGATATAATCCCGTCGTAAATTTGCCAAACGCGACAACAGAAAAAAAAAAGAGAAAAAAAGAGAGAGAGAGAGAGAGAGAGAG